TAACAGCATGTCTGCCTTCTGGCAGGTTAGTTTTACAGTTTTATTATTGTGCTTTATGGAACTTTTTATGTGGTTTTTTTTGTAATTGGAACTATAAGTAAAAGAATTAGGATTCAATGGATTTTGCAGACACTATATGAAACTGATTCTGAATTAGATTTAATTCCATTTATTGCTAAAACTTTATACCTCTCCTCTGACTGACTTTGACTTCACCTGTAAATATCTCCAGAGAGTAGTTAAAAGCATTTGCTAGTGAGAATTGATTCAGAAAAAAAGGTAATCCACAACACATTTATGTGTTGACACTCTCAAATAATCTTACCTTTATCTCTCTAATAAAGAAAAGTAAATAAATTCTAAGCCATGTGGGCCAAATTCTGGTTTGACATGCAAGGGCTGAAAAGCCAAAACCAGAAAAGGAATCATGGGATAAAATGTGTTGGTTTGAATTCTGACTTCTCTCCAAATCCTCAGGAGATATAGGGATGGATCACTTGATGATTACCTGTTCTGTTCACTCCCTCTGAAACACCTGGCATTGGCCACTGTCAAAGACAGGATACTGGGCTAGATGGACCTTTGGTCAGAGCCAGTATGGCTGTTCTTATGTTTTCCACCAATCTTCCATGTGTGAAACACTGGAGGACATTCTGGAACTGAGCTGAGGGACCAAAGGACATTTCATGAATGTTAACATGGTCCCATGCACCTTCATCCTATGCGGATTATTCCTTTACTGGAAAGAGTAATCTATTTGGTAAGCTGTGCACTGGGCTGAAGGCTGCCAATACATAGGCTCACATTAGCAGTGCTAACATATACCCAAGTGGAGAAGGGGGCAATTACAAAATTTCATGTCTGGAGTTAGCCTACTATATATACTTCCTTGTTTTTCCAAATCATGCTCAGGTAGAAGAGAAACACTTTTCAAATTTAAGGACAGCTTCTTCACGAAAAGTGGTGCACTACGTGAATTTTGGTGCAGCATTTGAATAGTTGGGATACTGGTTTATATGTATGCATGCAAACTTGGAGATGGAAATACTCATGTTGATGTGGCAAGACAGTTATTCCTAGATTCCAACTTAAAAAAAGAAATGAGTCCCTTGGAGTGAATTGCTTCATGAATTGGTATTTAATTACTCATTTTTCCTTAGGATGACTGATTTTTTCCTCTTACAGTTACCATGAATTATGTTACCTGAGTCCTGGCATCCTTCTTGTGTCTTGAGTGGCCAGGTAGTCTGAACTGACATGCATAACATTCCACAAAATCTAATACTCTTAAGAGTTCTGACTCCCCTCTCCAATCTCTGACCTGATCACAATTAATTGCTGATGCTAATCTATCACAGGCTGCTCCTCCGGCCATCTCAGAACTGATGCCAGTTTATTTCCATCCTTTAATGAGACCATGAAACCATAAGTAGAGCAGGACTTTTTGTTCCCTTGACAGTTGCCTTCTTCCCACAGCCACAAAAACATTAAAAAATAAAAAGACTTTTTCTCTGTCCCTAAAATTATCATCAAGGATGGAACCACAGTGACATGCCAGAACTTGCTTCTATGCTTTATAGTTCTTCAGCAGTGCTATGAAGGAGTACTGGATATTGCCTTATTTCTTGTTTTTGATCTGTTAGTGTAGCTCCGTCTAGCTTTTTAGCCATCTTATGGAATGTGTTAAACAAGGGATAATTAGTCAACATTCAAGGACAAAATCAGTCATTTTAGCACTAAGGGCAATATGTCATATTTGCATGTGAGCTATAAAAGAGAAAACCTTAGCTTATCAAATGGAGAATAAAATCAGACTGGAAAGAAATTTGATTTTCAAATTTTGAGTATTACAAACCATACAGTTCAAAACTCAAACATAAGTGCCATTTTAACACTATTATCTAGTCTTCAAGGGCCCCAACCTTGCAAACATTTACACATCTGTTTAACTTTAAGTCTCCCTTTGAAGTTAATGGGCCGACTCACATGTATAAGTGTTAGCAGACTCAGGCTCTACAGCTGTATTCATTTATATCATCCTCTTTCAAAATGAGGTGGCTTTCCACAATCATGTAATTATGGTAAAATAAGTCACCTGACCAGTAACCAGAAAGAAAGCACATTTTCAGATCACAACCTGCTTACTATTATGAAGGCACCTGGAGTTTGCTGTAGAACAAGACAAATAAAACCAGCTAGCCCTCTGTGTCCTGCTCCATCAAAAGGAACTTCATCACAAAAGAAACAGATGTCCCAAGAAAGACATGGAAACCTTTTTTCTATTCAAATGAAAGGTGAACAATTAAATATTACATGATGTTAGCAGTGCAAACAACAAAGTAATAGAGCAGTGATCCCAAATTAACAATTATATTGTGCTGTTTTTCATAGATTCCAAGGGCAGAAGGAACTATTGTGATCATCTGGTCTGACCTGTATATATGCAATAGAACTTCCCCAAAGTAATTCCTAGAGCAGATCTTTTAGAAAAACATTCAATTTTGATTTAAAAATGGTCAGGGATGGAGAATCCACCAAGACCCTTGGTAAGTTGTCCCAGTGGTTAATTACTCTCATTGTTAAACTTGTATGCTTTATTTCCAGTCTGAATTTGTTTAGCTTCAACTTCTAGGCATTGGCTCATGTTATACCTTTCTTGGCTAGACTGAAGAGCTTATCATTAAATATTTGTTGCCTATGTAGGCATTTATAGACTGTAATCAAATCACTCCTCAACCTTCTCTTTGTTAAGCTAAATAGATGGAGCTCCTTGAATCTATTGCTATAAGGCATGTTTTCTAATCCTTAAATCATTCTAGGGACCCTTCTCTGAACCCTGTCCAATTTATCAGCATCCTTCTTGTACTGTGGAAAGCAGAACTGGACACAATATTCCAGTAGTGGTTGCAGCTCCTGGGGGGAATTCTGCACCAAAAATGTAAAAGTTCTATGCACAATATTTTAAAATTCTGCTAATTTTATTTGTCAAAATAACACTATGTAATCATGCCAGTTTCAATTATTTTGGTAATTTATTTCAAAATACCAGTCACAAGTATGTCTGAAACAATACACACATACACAAAAATTCCCCCAGGAGTAGAGAGTTATAGAAACACATATGACAACCCAGTTCCTGTTTCTCTGCTCCCTCCCCCCACAGAGTCCAGCTGTGGGCCCCCCCAGCCCAGACATTCTCACCTCCTACCCCCCACCTCCCGAGTCCAGCTGTGAGCCCCCCACCCCACCCCCCAGCCCAGACACTCGTGCAACCTACCCTCCTAGAGCCCAGGGATAACTCAGTGGTTTGAGCATTGGCCTGCTAAACCCAGGGATGTAAATTCAGTCCTTGAGGGGGCCATTTAGGGGTCTGGGGATTGGTCCTGCTTTGAGCAAGGGATTGGACTAGATGACCTCCTAAGCTCCCTTCCAATCCTGACATTCTTTGATCTTGCCCAGGATTGATGTCAGACAAAAGAGCTTAAGGTCATCCTCTTTAGCCTTTACCCTTTTTACATATTGGCACAACGTTAGCTTTCTGTTTAATAACCTAGTTATTGTAGAAATGTGGCAGAGGCAAAATCTGCATGTTAGTTATAAAAACATCTTTCCAGTATTAGAATATGTCATAAATACAGGCCTGTGCACAACTGGTATTTAAAAATGTTATACTATTGGCCCAAAATCTTAGACAGGCAAATGCAGAGGAGGTGAAATTCACTTCCCCCACATTGAGGAGTTGTATTTGGCCTATATGTGGGTGGAGTGCAGGGAGATGAAATTCACTTCATAAATCCAGGGTCATAGCTTCTACATGTGGCACCAATGCTACTGAATAAACTTGAAAGTAATAATACCGGTCTGTAGTCCTGGCACACCAGATGGAATACATCATACAGAAATCTCCTCTTCACCGGTTAGGGAAGCTTAAAAAAAATAAAATTGAGGAAAAATACAAAAAAGGACCAAAATGATACAAGGATGGGCCAGTTCAAGAAAACACATCAAGAAATATGAAACATATGAAGAAAGCATCTAGAAAATAATCTTGAGAGAACTACAATCCATCTATAAATACCCGATGATAATGTAAATAAAGGGGATTATTCACAAACTCATAAGAAGTTAACTTTAGGCCATTTCTTCTTATCTTTTATGAAAGGAAAAATTAGGTTCCATATTAGGTAGCATTAACACATAGAACAATTGGTTAGTACACCAGATAGCACTTGCAGTGGTTAGCGAAGACATTAGTAGGAATGAGGTAGTGACTAGTTCTGCAAAAATGCAAGCAGAGAGATTACATGACTCTGTAGATTCTTCTGAACCTACTATATAGAATCCTGTTAAAAATTTTACCAGCCAGTTTTAGCTTTCAGAAAAAAAAGTTAGTCTAGTCTGATAGCACTAAACAATCTACAGTTTGTAGAACAACAATTTCACAGGATCTGTTTTGACCACTTCCCAATCATTATAAAAAATAATAACCAAGACATTAATATTTGTGATAATAAATTATTGCACTTGTAAGCATATAAACTGCATTACCAAATGTTTTGAGCAAGTAAAATTGAGGCTTTTAACTTTTTAGCTGACTATTTGGGTTAGGGGGTGTTGATTCTCACCAGAAAGCAACCAACTAAAAGTGTGCTCAGCTGTTTAAACACAATGGATGAAGTTTTCCTCTCAGTTTGTACCAGTTCAACTCTACTACTTTTGCAACAGGCACGATCTTAAAGCGGTTAGAAAGATTCTGCACCATAACAATGATTGTTCCACTTGATACAATTTTATTACCTTCATCATCAATGAAATATGAATAGCTGAACCAAAATGCAGTTTGCTGTTAACAATACCTTAACTGTTCCAGTGAGATGATATCCCCATCATTTGTGATTTAATACTGATTTTAGGCTCCCCTGCATAACTAATGAGCTTTTATAAATCTTCACTTGAAAAAGAAAATCTTTAAAATTCCACTATATTGACGACAGCTCCACTTCATATATCTGAAAACTTTATTTAACAGCCACAACCGTTCAGAATAGTTACATCATCGCTTTGAAATATGATTGCACACAGCTGTGCAGTCCATTGAAATACTACAAAACAGGGAAAAGGAAAAACCTGGAGAGTAGAGGAGCTTTGTTCGCTAAACTGAGCTGGCTTGTAGCAAGCTCCAGTATGGAGACAATGTCCTCATGCTTTCTGGTAGACTCTCTTACACTTGCAACCATTCATGTCACATTCCTGGGAAAAAAAAATAAAAATTCAGTAGTGTATAGGCCAGTGGTTCTCAGCCAGGGGTCCAAGGCCCTCTGGGGGGTCACAAGCAGGGGGGAGGGATAGCTCAGTGATTTGAGCAATGGCCTGCTAAACCCAGGGTTGTGAGTTCAATCCTTGAGGGGGCCACCTAAGGAACTGGGGCAGGCAAAATCAGTACTTGGTCCTGCTAGTGAAGTCAGGTAGCTGGACTCAATGACCTTTCAGGGTCCCTTCCAGCTCTATGAGATAGGTATATCTCCATATATTATTTTTCAGGAGGTCCACCAAAATAAACCAGAGAGCAGGACCAGCAGACTCACTGGGGCCCAGGGCAGAAAGCAGAATCCCAAGCCCCGTGGTCCAGGGCTGAAGCCAAAGCCCGAGCAATTTAGCTTCACAGGGTTCCCTGTGGCATAAGGCCCTGGGCTATTGTTCTGCTTGCTACCCCCTAATGCCTTTTAATCTACTGAAAAACAGTTGTTGTGGCACAGGTGGGCCATGGAATTTTTATAGTAGATTGGGGGGGCCTCAGAAAGAAAAAGGTTGAGAACCCCTGATATAGGCTAAATTACTGCAAAATACAGGGATGCAGATGGCAGTTTATAATAGATTTTGAGTCTCTTTTAAAGTTAGATTCCTGCTATCATCTATAGTCTTGCAGTAGTCAATGATCAGAAAGTAGGAATGCACTCACCACCACCAGTTTCCCATCCTCTATCTTCCGTGTTATTGTGGACTCTTTGCCATCCCACTGCTGGAGCTGAGTCAATGTGTTACCATCTAAGGTGACAAGAGTCTGCAAAGAAAAGCAGGTCTTAAATATTTTACTCGGTCTCTTTGAGTGGAGGTGATACACTCCCACACTATACTCCAAGGCCCTACTGAAGTCAATGGGAGTTTTGCCATTGACTTCAGTAGGGCCAGGATTTCACTCTACATTTCTCTTGACTCCTGTTCTTCTTCCATTACTTTGCTACTTGTTCAGTCACTGCTTTGGCACATTTATACAAGAAACATGACTTTGACAGCATGCACAATTTAAGTGAACAAGACCTGCTTAGTGTGCTAAATTCATCTCCTCATACATGTGCTTTGGCTTTTTGTATCGTCTACATCTGAATCTTGCACTTGGCAGATGTGTTGCCAGTGCACAGGTGAGGAGTGGGAGGGTCTTGGCAAGTGGCCAGCATTCACACAAGGAGATAATTGGCCTGAGAGAATCCTATGGAGAGTGAATAATCTTTCTTCACCATCCGCCACCTCCTCCCAGGGATGAGTGGCGGATTAATAATTTTGCCGCCCGTAGGCCGGGAAATAATTGCCACCCTGGCCCCGCCCCAACTCCGCCCTTTTCCCGCCCCCATTCCAACCCCCTCCCCAAAGTCCCTGCCCCAACTCCGCCCCTCCCTTCCCCTGTTGGATCCCTTCCCCAAATCCCCGCCCCGCCTCTTCCCCCAGCGCGCAGCGTTCCGCCTCCTCCCCCTTCCCTCTCTGCCCCGCGAAACAGCTGTTTCGCGGCACAAGCGCTGGGAAGGGAGAGAAACAGGACACGGTGGGGCGCTTGCAGAGGAGGCGGAGGTGAGCTGGAGCAGGGGGGCGGGGAGGGGAGGGGAGCTTCTCCCCTATAAATTTGTCGGCCTAGGCAATAATACGGCGCTGCCAGGGATAGTCCCTTTAATCAGTCAAGTTGGAAGCTACTTGAACTCTTGTAAAGACGGGGAATATGGAGTCTGAATTACATTTAATTTACTCCCTATATAGGATATTCCACTTGTTACGCAAGTGTGTGAGATTGTGTCATCAGATTAGTTGTAGGACCATATCCTGCTCCTGTTAAAAATCAAAAGGCTTTTTTGACATTAACTTCAATGAAAGTGAAATTTGGCCTTTGGTATTTTTAACATGGGTCTGGAGGGCTGCCAGTTTTATCACCCCAAGGTGCGTCACGGGGCCATACAAACTGAAAATGATTAACCAAACATACCAGGCTTTATCTGGTTTCAGTATTTTACCATTTGTAGACTGGTTAGTCCATAAAAACTGATGGATTTCAATGGGGCTTGTGATGACAGGGGTACCCCACCCACCAACAGAGCAGGGTACTTACTCAACATGAGGGAGTGGGGGAGACTGGGTCCCTAAATAGCATTTATATCTGTGAGCCAGCCACTCCAGTGGACTGGGTGTATTCAGTGAAAAAAAACCTCTTGTACTAACCTGAACTTTCCTGCCATCTAATGTATTTTCCTCACATTTCTCACCCAGCTTGAAGCTGAGCTGTGAAGATTTAAAGGTGCTTTCTGTTTTTATGGTGATTGTATCTCCATCCTTGCTGATGTAAACATCTGGTTTGGCCATGCTCCCCATTTTCCTCAGGGCCACACCCACACCTGCAGAGCAAAAGCAACAGCATATCAGAGGAGACAGTTAAACACTAAGCCCACATAGAGAGAGGATCCCTTTTAATTATACAGGGCGAGGGAGGAGAAATTCATTTTGCAGACTCATTCATCCTGAATGCTCCTGAGATCTAAATCAAATCTATTTCTCCCCCTATAGGACCTGCAAAGCAGTATCTCCGTTCACACAAACCGACGTGTAAGGTGGAAAAGGGGAAATAAGAGCTATAAAGTAGTGTTACAAGAAGATTGTGTCCAAGTTTAAGCGAACTGTGTTTTAAAAGTTCTCCAATTGACTTTTCAAACTGTAAAATTAATCCACTTTTATATTTATATACAATTTATTAAATGTATATTCATTATATAGATGTATTTCTTCTAACTTACTTACGGAACACCCAGCTGTCACTCTAGACGTGTGTAAAATGTCAAAAGTATATAAAAAAAAAAAAACTAGAAGACTCCCCTCTGCAGAAAAAAGCTTAAGGGAAAAATTGGAGCTTTGGAGCATGACTTGAATTCAACAAAGTAGGACTTTAGCACACTACTAAAGGAAGCACTTGAGGTCCCTTCATCAAAAAGCATCTTGCCTCCAGCCCCCTCTTGATTAATCCAGTGACTCATTAGCTTGAGTGCTTCACCCAACTCAACAGGTTTCAGGCTTTGGGGTTACTCAGGACTTTCACAATGCAGGGCTTTATACAGCAGCTATTAATCAGCCATTTAAATTGCATCCAACAATAAACTGGAAGCCAATGAAGAGCTCCAGGGTGACATTCTTTCTGCAAGAAGTATCACTAAGTAAGTCAGAAGCTGCATTCTGTAGTAGCTGTAGTTTGAATAATCTTAAAGTGCCCTCACATACAGCACAGTGCAGCATTCCAAAATGAAGCTGATAAGGGCATACATTACTGTGGTGAGATCTGCATCCAAAACAGAAGGGCCTGGATCCACAAAGGCATTACAATGCTCAGTATTGCGACAACTAGAAAAATCACAGGAACATGCTACAATCCACAAAGCCTGAGTTAGGCACTTAGGCTCCCAATACAATGCATGCGGAGAGACAGGTGCCTTCAAATACAATCCACAGAAGCCAGCATGCTAGGCAGGGAGCCACTTAAGCTAGCCATTGGGAGATGCTCAAGAGAGGGTTGTGTACTAAGCCCCTCCCCTCTCATCAAGATAGGTGCCTAAGTCCAGGCTGCAGGGAGGTGCCTATCTTTGCTTAGCAATAGTGATCCATGAACAGAAAGCCGATGCCTGGAGTCAGGTGGCTCCAGCACCTAAACTGTTTCTTGCAGGAATGAGTTAGGTGCCTGCCTTGCTGTGCACAAAAGAGCTGGAGGAAGAGAAGCCCACTTAATAGCTTTAGCTCAGTAGTTAGAGTACTTGCCTGGGAAGTGGGATATACAGGTTAAATTCCCCACTCTGCCAGAAGGGTAGGGAGAAGAAAGGATTTGAATAGGGGCTGCCCACTTTCCTGTTGAAGCTGTTCCACTGTGGCTAAATAATGAAAGAGTGATTGGAGCAAGGGAACTGGCCAGGGGAATCCCACATGGGTACTACAGAATCATTCTGTCTCTGGCCCAATGACTATATAAGTATTTATACTCAGTGAAACTGTTATTTTGGGGGGGAGGGGCAGGGGAGGAAGCAGCATAGAGAGAGAAAGAGACTCTGTAGCATAGGCGCCGACTTCTACTGGCGCCGGTGGGTGCTTGAACCCCCTTTGCCCCCGGCCCTGCCCTGCTCCCTCCCGCCCCCATTCCAATCCCTTCCCCAAAGTCCCCACCCCAACTCCACCCCCTTCCTGCCCCTATTCCAACTCCTTCCCCAAATCCCCAACCCAGCCCCGCCTCCTCCTCTGAGCATGCCACATTCCCACTCCTCCCCCTGGAGCTTGCTACAGCTGTTTGACAGCTGCAAGCACTTGGAGGTAGGTGGAGGCGCGGGGATGTGGCATGCTCAGGGGAGGAGGAGATGAGGTGGGGCGGGGTGGGGAGCTTGACTAATTTTTCCCTGTGGATGCTCTAGCCCCAGAGCACCCACGGAGTCAGCGCCTATGCTCTGTAGTCCAGAAAAACTAGTAATCCAAAACAAGTCCAGTGGTTAGGGCCCCCAATCAGGAAGGCAGAAAAGCCAAGCAATCTTGAGACCCAATCATGACACAGGTGGAAGTGGAAGTATCATTGAAGAACCAACTCTTTGTAATGTTTAAGATTGTAGGTGGGGTCTGAAAATGTGAATCTGTGGCTTGTGGACAGACATGCTCTGAAGGTAATATTTAGAACTGATCATCTGGACAGGACCCGTAGAAGGAGCTCTTTGTTAAGTGCTAACAATTCCTTGCAGACTATATTTAGAGCCATTCACTTTTTCAAAACTATACTCCTAGCAAAATCTGCATTTAATCTTGCAAACTATTTAGATTTAAAATCTAAATTCATGTGCAGCCTAAATGTGCCCTACACTATCCTAAATATTCTTTTAAAGAGTGTTGATAAACACATTAAGGGTGGTGATAAAAAATAAGTCAGAATTCAGGCTGATACCTCTTTTCACACTTGTTTTCTGGGGGTGGATGGGGGGGAGGAGACAGATGGACATGAGCTAAGGACCTAGTATGTTCACTTTAACTTTTTAATTTCCCAAGTGTGTGGTTGACTTGTACCTCAAACTAAGAATTTATTATATTTTGTACTTCACATAAAATTCAGACCTTGCAAAGACAGTCTAAGATCTGGATTTAGATTTTTTTTTTAAAACAAACATTGCCTGTGCTCACTCTTGTTTAATGTTATAAGCTGCATAGCAGGAAGTTGTATTGCTTTGCTATGAATGTTTACAATATCATAAGTTGCACTGTCTTGTTATGAGGCAATTTATTAACAATTAAACAGTTTATCATTTTTTAAAAAGTTCTTTGTGAGTTCTTTAAGACTTAGGGTAGGATTTTCAAAAGTGCCTAAGGGAGTTTTTTGAAAAATTGACCTTACATTTTAATTTTGCTGCCTCTGGCTTGCAGTACAGTCTTCTGTCAGTACGGCAAGTGGCTTGGCAAGGAGCAATCACACCACATTGTGCTGCAGTAAGGCCATTAAACTGTTGTAGCCAAATGTACATTTCCACCACCCCCCAGGCTATCTGCATACCCAGTCCCCCTGCTCCAATGATTCTTTCATTATTTATCCACAGGGGAACAGCTTCAGTGGGGGCGCCCCACATCAGAATATCCCATAGCTGATCTTGAAAACATGACCCTGAAAGATTCAAAACCCATAAGGGAAATTAAAAGGACTCCAACAGTTTTTTAATCCAATCTCAGAATTGGGAGGAGGGGGCTCCCTTGTGATTTTTGAATAGTTGAGATTGGCAATTCAGGAAGAAAATACTTGGGATAGAAAGTGAACTGATGGTGCTACCACTGAAACTGTTAAGGAATACAGATACATTTTACATCTAGCAATAGAAAGAGTCTTTTCAATGATATTTTGTATCCCAGTAGCAGCTGCATTGATATGACCCCTTATGATAATCTACTATCAGACAAATTCATGTGAGAGTATTACAGCACAAATTTAATAGAAAATAGGAAGAGGCTGATAATTGTGTGTTCTAGTTGGGGATTTCCCACTCCATTCTCTTCTCATGCTATCATTTACCCACCTGTTCTTAACACTAAAGACTGTCATTTAACTGAAAGCATGTGTGCACATACACAAGTTTCCAATCTGTTATTGAAATGTTAATATAAGGAACTGTGATTCTAGTCAGTTTCAGTCCAGTGTGCTCTGATTTTGCAGATTTAATGCACAACACAAAAACTCATCTCAAACCAGATAATATGCAAGCTACTTTGTTTATAACAATAAGAAATTCAAGGTGTATATACCACTGAGTCCCAATCTGCTCTCACTTCCACTGATAAAAACCTGGAGGAATTTCAGTTATTTCAGTGGAACTGAGAGCAAATTATGGCCCAGGGGTTCAGACATTCAGCAAACCAAGAGGTTACAAATGCCTCACAGCAGATGCTTTATTTAGACAATGAACGCACAGCTGTATTGGCGCTACCCATCTCAGGTGCAGTATAATAAAGACTAACATGCACACGTTCATTTTCTCCCTATTGGATAGATTTTGTTTTCTGTTCTTCTCCCCTTTCCCTAACCCCAGAGAAGGACCAAAACCATTCCAAGAGGTCCCCTCTCTATGAGAGTGTGCTCTGCCCAGCATCAGCTTAGCCAGCAGAGGAGAGAGGCTCTTGCTATTCAAACCATTGCTGCAGGTCGCACGGTTGCTTTTATGTTGACACCCTGGGAATTGTCTCCTTTCACTTTAGTTAGCAACCTATTCCCAGGCGGCTCCTAGCATCGGGCACCGAGACGCCCCCGCAGACCTTGGACAGAGCAGCTGAAGAAACCAGGCACAAAGCTTTGGATCCCAGATGAACTAACATAGTGGAGCTAAGTCCGGTGGGCCAAGGAAGGGGCACCTTAAATCTTAGATCCTTACCCTCTCCACCCCCCACCCCCCCATCCATCCATCCAGGACTATACAGACAATACAAATAAATTACACACACGTATATATGAGAGAGAGGGGGGGGTTCTTCCAGCGGGCAACCAGCAACAATGGGATTTAGGGAGATAGTCACAGAAATCAGAGTCCACCAAACCTCATTTCTTCCCCCAAACCTAACAGCCAGGGAGATCCTGAATGAAAAGTCCTCGCTGCCCAGAGTGCGGGGGACATTCCTTTATTTTCTATCCAGGAGCAGAAGTACAGAGCCCCAGCACCCAGCCCGCCACCCCTACCTTCCCCTCCCTCAGACCCACACGGTCTCTCTGCCCCGTCAAGGCTTCCTTACCTAATTCCTTCATGTACTCCTCAAAGCCTTCGCTGGAGATGAGGCTCCACTTGCCTACAAAATCGTCTATGCTCATCGTGCCGGCTCGCTAGGAGGTGTCCCGCAGGAGGTGGAGGCTGGAGGACGATGTAGGAGGCAGACGGGGGCCAGAGGCGTCTTTATCCAGATGCCCCTGAACATGTGCTGCGGGAGAGAACCAATGGGGACCGACAACGTCAGGGGTTCCTACTCCCGGCCCTCGCCCCCTTCGCTCATCAGCCCCCGGGAGGACAGAGCGGGGTGAGGTTCACACCGCCACTCCCGCCAGGCGAGGTGTCGCCCCGTCAGCGCCTGCAAGCAGAGACTTGCTGCTGCTGCTGTGTGCAGCGTCGGCATAGCGCGGGGAGACGAGGTTGCATTTCTGCCGCCTTGCCAAAGGCAAGTGCTCTGGTTACTGGAGCCCGAAGGAAAAGTGCACGTGCTCCGCGTTTTCCAGCGCAGCTCCCCACTCCCAGAACATCTGCAGCCCTAACAGCGTCACACCGGGGAAAAGGTAACGCTACAGCCGTTTGGAATGGATCCTGTCAATTTGTGTTACCAAGCCCCAAAGTGTCCCACGATCACTATAGTGAACAAGTGCAGCACACACACGCGTCCAGACCCTGGTGCCTACTGCAGCATCAGTGCAGCAAAAACCCCGATCCAGCCCCTGTATCCTGCTGGAACCAGCCAAATCTTGGCTGTAAGACTCGAAATTGTAGTGACTAACTAAACAAGTATAGCTGCTCTTACTGCACCTGGACCATCGTGCATTCTGGCAAATGAATGCCACAAAAACGCAGACTCTAGCGCATGGATCTTACTAGAGCCACTCAATTTTGAACATAAGGACATAAGAACGGCCATACTGGGTCAGATCAAAGGTCCATCAAGCCCAGTATCCTGTCTTTTGACAGTGGCCAATGGCAGGCGCCCCAAAGGGAATGAACAGACAGGTTATCATCAAGCGATCCATGCCGTCACCCAATCCCAGCTTCTGGCAAACAGAGGCAAGGGACACCATTCCTGCCCATCCTGGCTAATAGCCATTGATGGACCTATCTTCCATGTATCTATCTAGCTCCCTTTTGAACCCTGTTATAGTATTGGCCTTCACAACACCCTGTGGCAAAGAGTTCCAGAGGTTGACAGTGCGTTGCATGAAAAAATACTTTCTTGTGTTTGTTTTAAACCTGCTACCTATTAATTTTGGCTCTCACATTCCAATGCCTGAAAAAAGAACAAATGTAGCTGCTCTTACTGCATCAGAAAATCCAGCACAAACTGATGCAAAACCTGGATTTTGCACCTGGATCCATGGAGCTTTGCAATTTCTGGTTCCAACCACCAAACTGTATGATTTCTTATTAATCATGTTTCTTATGGTAGTGCCTGAAGATCAGCCAAGAATGGGTTGTGTGAGGCACTGTACAGATACAGAATAGTAGACAGTCCCTGCCCCAAAGAGCTTACAATCTACATCTAAATAGAAAACAAGGATAGCCATTCCCACTACACTGGAAAAATTGAACCCCTCATGCATCCCAGCCTAATAACACTGGAAAAATGCATTTCTGATACCTGGACCTTGCCAATGTTTAATGGCAATGCTCCCAAATTCTACTAAATAGACAAAACATAGCAGCTATTAGCTGCTGCAAAGTGGCACAGAAGCACCACAAAAACATGTATCTGGCATCTCGACCCTACTGAATCAAGCTAGTTTTTTGTTCCCAAAATTCTACCAGCTAAGTAGAGGAGTGCAACTGTTCCAGTTCCACTAAAAACTACAGATGCATCCCTACTCAAAGGCACCCCAAAGATACATATGCAAGTTCTGGAGTGGCTGGATCCTACCACTTTTTTGGCCCCAAGCTATCAAAACAGACAACACATGGTGTCACTCCTACTTGACCAGAAATATCCATGCTCCAGCAAACCTCAAGATGCACCGCGGTCTGGGGTGTTTGGGTGCAGTAGAAGCAGCTACGCTTGTTTTCTATTAATGCCATGGAATTTAAAGTTGAGAATCAAAAATTAAATGAACACAGCAAGATCCCTTTGCTAGTTCTGGGTTTTTGCACCAAGATACGTCAGGGTTCTGAATTGTTCTGGTGCAGTTGGAGCAACTGGTCTTGTTCTTTCTTTAGGCATTAGATTTTGCAGCAAAGCTAATCCTTGAAGCTAGCTGGAAAATTTTGAAATTCCAAATTATTTATTGAAAAAAGAGACATTTTTCACCAAAAAATCATCCAATTTTTTGACCAGCTTTCGTAATCAACCAGGTTTTTTTAAAAAAGATTCTGTACAAATTAAGAACAGGAGTACTTGTGGCACCTTAGAGACTAACAAATTTATTAGAGCATAAGCTTTCGTGGACTACAGCCCACTTCTTCGGATGCACATATGCATATATGCATCCGAAGAAGTGGGCTGTAGTCCACGAAAGCTTATGCTCTAATAAATTTGTTAGTCTCTAAGGTGCCACAAGTACTCCTGTTCTTCTTTTTGCGGATACAGACTAACACGGCTGCTACTCTGAAACCCGTACAAATCAAGTTGTTCAATCCCATAAACCAAACAAGCAGTGCAATATTCCCTTCCTGGTGGCACTGGGTTGTCAATTACTGCTCTATATTTCCTTAATCTTCAGTAACCCTATTTTTTAAAATATGTGAATAATGTCTACTCATAAAAAAGCAAGTCACATTGTTTTCTTGTCATTAAATAGCTAACTTTAGACATAAATGCTTCAGCTTCCTTCCTCTTTGATCTTTCTTGCTTGCACAAGTGGGTCTGAGTGGGTTTTAAATTAGCCTACTTGCCATCTATTTCATGTCACGGCAGCTACTGTGCTGTCGGTCTAGTAGTCTTGATTTCAAAAAGGATAAATTAAAAACCATCTGATTACAGATCAAACAGAACATCTGTTAGTCACAATCTTTAATATATTGGGAAGCATTGAGTCTTCTGTCTTGTGACTGAGCACAAGTCTGCAGCATACGCCTCCCTAGAAGCAGAAATCCTGCCTTTACTCTACCATTGCAAAATATTAATTTCTGATCCAGGACTTCTGAAGTCCTGTCTGCAGAGGGTTTACGTGCACATAGACTTCTGGTTCACCCTCTTGGCAATACAACAGGGGAATGGAAAACACTCTATTTCCATCTAGTGGTGAGACAATATTCCTTTACCTGAAATCTAGGTATCCAGCTAGAGATCTATTTTCAGAGTAGCAGCCGTGTTA